GTCATGCGCTCCAGCCCTGTAATCATTTTGGTTGCCCTCCGCTGGACCCTCTCCAATGCATCCACATCCTTTCTATAGTTGGGGGGCCCAGAACTGGACACAATACTCCAGATGTGGTCTCATTGGACCCGAATAAAGGGGAATTATCACTTCTCTGCATCTGCTAACAATGCTCCTCCTAATGCACCCTAATATGCCATTATCCTTCTTGGCTACAAGGGCGCCCTGTTGACTCATATCCAGCTTCTCATCCACTGTAATCCCCAGGTCCTTTTCTGCAGAACTGCTACTTAGCCATTCGGTCCCCAGCCTGTAACAATGCTTGGCATTCTTCCGTCCCAAATGCAGGACTCTGCACTTGTCCTTGTTGAACGTCATCAGATTTCTTTTGGCCCAATCCTCTAATCTGTCCAGGTCACTCTGGACCCTATCCCTGCCCTCCAGCGTATCTACATCGCCTCTAGCTTAGTGTCATCTGCGAACTTGCTGAGGGTGCAATCCATCCCTTCATCCAGGTCATTAATGAAGATGTTGAACGAAACCAGTCCAAGAACAGATCCTTGGGGTGCTCCATTAGAAACCGACCGCCAACCTGACATTGAACCATTGATCACTACCCATTGGGCCCGACAGTCTAGCCAGTTTTTTATCCATCTGACCGTCGATTTATCCGATCCATATTCCCTTAACTTGCTAGCAAGAGTACTATGGGAGACTGTATCAAAAGCTTTGCTAAAGTCAAGGTATATCACATCCACTGACTTTCCCATATCCACAGAGACAGTTACCTCATCAGGGAAGCTAATCAGATCGGTCAGGCATGACTTGCCTTCGTGAATCCATGTTGACTATTCCTGATCACTTTTCCCTCTTCCAAGTGCTTCAAAATGGATTCCTTGAGGATCCCCGCCATGATTTTTCCAAGGAGTGAAGTAAGGCTGACTGGCCTGTGGTTCTCTGGATTGTCCTTCTTCCCTTTTTTAAAGACGGGCACTACATTTGCCTTTTTGGGATCTCTCCTGATCTCCACGAGTTTTCAAAGATAACGGCCAAAGGCTCCTCAATGACATTTGCCAACTCCCTCAGTACCCTCCGATGTATTAAGTCCGGGCCCATGGATTTGTGTATGTTAAGCTTTTCTAAATAGTTCCTAACCTGTTCTTTCCCCACCAAGGGCTGCCCACTTCCTTCCCACACTGTGTTGCCTAGTGCATTTGTCTGGGAGCTGACCTTGTCCGGGTGCTCTGCTAATCAGCTGGCTGGCCGCCCAAGCGCTCAGCTCACAGGGAACACTGGTTGCAGGGAAGAATGCACAACTCTTCCACTTTAAAACAGGGCCTTGCCTGCCAGGGAGCCTACATTGCTAGGGGCATGCCCTCACCTTCATGGTCCTTCGTGCCCACTTCTGAACACACCTCTGGAGAGAGGCATGCAGGCCCTCTGAAAGTCCCTGAGCCAATAGGTTAGATCAGAAGAGCGGGCAGAAATGAAAAGGAAAGATGGGGGGGAGGGGGCGCGGCAGGGAGAGAAAGAAAACAAGCTGGAGACAGGAAGAGAGGAAGTAGTCAGTCTAGGTTTGTTTACACTGAACCTTTCGCAGTGATTTAGTTCAACGGTTGCTGACACGTATTGATTTAAACTGGTTATGTCTGTTTAACTTGCACTTGTACATTTACTGACACAACATGGCCCCAACCGTAAGGGCATAAGAACGGCTGTACCGGGTCAGACCAATGGTTCTACTCGTCTGGTCTAGTAGGAACAGAGTGGCCCACAGTCAGACGCTGAGAGATTCTCCAGAGCATGGGGTTGCATCCCTAGCCACCCTGGCTAATAATCACTGATGGACCTATCCTCCAGGAACTGATCTAATTCTTTTTTTAACCAATACTTTTGGCCTTCACAACGTCCACTGGCAAGAAGTTCCAGAGATTGACTATATCTTGGGAGAAGAGATACTTCTGTTCCTTTTGCTTGTTTTAAGCCAGTGTTTGGAAGTGAGAACTCCTCCGAGGGGAGGTCGCATCAACTCTGGCTCCCAAGAGGCTGGTGGAAATCTAATGGAAGGCTAGAGAATAGCTTGCAAGGAGCTAGGAAGGTCAGTTAGCTAAATGCCAGGGACTTTTCAGGTGGGTGTCTGCCCATCCCCTCGACAGCCCATTTTGTATTATAGTGACCGTAGCTCTTGAATTCTGTGCATCTCCATGGGGAAACATGCGCACACAGAGTAGCTGGTCCTTCTCTGCCATTGCATCAAGGAAAGAGCACGCCGGCAGGGGGTGGGGGATGGGGAATAACATCCACGTCTCTGATCCTGCACCACCTTCCCCAAGCGGCAGCCGTAGAGCATCAACTGTGTGTACAGCACCTAGCACAAGGGGCCCTACATTAATACCAATAAATAAAAGCAGGTTCACAAGCCTGGGTCCGCTGAAGTTCCCTGCTTCCAGAGTTTCATGGGTCTGCTCACTCCCCACTCCATTTCCTTCTTGTTCACAGCCTCAGCTCCTCCTATAACAGCACCCCCTCTGCCCTGCCAGCCACCTCCCCATATTAACTCCCTACCCCTCACACTAGACTCTGCTCCCCTCACCTCTTTGATTCCACCAGTAAGCCCCCCCCCCCCCGACCTCCATTCCAAATTTTACCCTCCTCCACCATTTTCCTTCCACATGCTCCCCAATATCAGCTCCCAGTTTTGCCCAGGCCTCTCTACCAGCTGGAGAATGAAGCAGTCATTCCTGGAATTCTCCTGGGGCGTTGATGGCTGAGGGGGTATATGTGGCTGCGTAGACACGGTGACTCCAGGGGCTGACAGCCACGAATATGGCTGGCTGTTTGCCTTTTCCAAAACTGCCGAGATCAATGGCATTACGCTCCTCCCGGAGGGCCCAGTCCCCATCTGTTCACCAGCCGGGATGGCTGCATGGTGATTGTGTGCATTGTATTTATCTAAATAGTCAATTTCACCTGCTCTGTGCCCAGGAAACCAAAGTAGAAAAGATCTCACAGTCCAGGGCGATTGTGTCTTTTCTGTAGAGCCCTCTTCTGTCAGGATTCCCAGGACAGCGAAGTGGTAGGCAGTAGACACTCATGGCAAATGCTCTTGGCTACATCTAGACAGCGGGGATCTTTCAGGATACCGGAAGTTTCCCAAAATAGCAATTCCGTGTCTTTAAACACACGTGTTATTTTGAAATAGATATTAAAAAAATGGGTGCACTATTCCCAGTTTCATTCCATGAGGATTAAGGGACTTGTTGGAATAGCGCTTTATTTCAAAAAGATTTCAAAATAAGCTATTTTGAGGTAAGGGTACTGTGTAGACGCACCCTCAGTGTGGTGGGAGGACAAACAAGTGGACAGTAGACTCTCAGACTTCTGACATTTAGTGCCAAAAAGACGACGACTCTCACAGACACTAAGAATGTGAGTACACTGCTCTCTTGGTTTGGGGTCTCGAAGCAAATGCATGACAAGATCTTGACAGTCATCTAAAAGTAGGTGTGTGCTTTTTCTCCCCCAGCTTACAGTTGGGGAAACGGAGGCAGGGAATATGTATATATAAGTAGAAGAAACTTGGACAGGTGACCAGGGAGGAGTATAAATATGTTGCTGAGCATGCAGAGGCGTAATCAAGAGCGTGAAAGCACAATTGGAATTGCAGCTAGCGAGGAATGTGAAGGGTTACAAGAAAGGTTTCTACAGGCACGTTAGCAATATGAGGGTGATCAGAGAGGGTGTGGGGCCCTTACTGGATGAGGGCGGTAACCTAGTGACAGGTGAAAACAACAAATGGTCTCCGGTTATCTGAAGAAGTGGGCTGTGCCACGAAAGCTCATACCACCATCTATACGTTTTGTTAGTCTATAAAGTGCCACAGGACCATTTGTTGTTTTTTTCTGTAACAGACCAACTCGGCTACCCCCTGAAGCTAATGACAGATGATGTGGGAAAAGCTGAAGTAACCAATGCTTTTTTTTTGCCCGTCTTCACAGACAAAAGTCAGCTCCCAGACTGCTGCACTAGGCAACACAGTATGGGAAGGAGGAGGGAAGACCTCGGTGGAGAAAGAACAGGTTAAGAACTATTTAGAAAAGCTAAACATACACAAATCCACAGGTCTGGATTTAATGCATCTGAGGGTACTGAAGAAGTTGACAGAGCCTTTGGCCATTATCTTTGAAAACTTGCGATTGGGAGAGATCCCCGATGACTGGAAAAAGGCAAATATACCCCTTACTAAACCCCATCAATCCAAGAGGCTATAGAACATAGCCAGACGAAGGGTGAGGATGTAGCTGGAAGGCACTGGATCTAGATCAGTGGTCAATCCTGACTCAGGCTCTCTGGAGAGACATCGACACTGCAACATTATTTTGAAATAACTAGCGCTATTCCAAAATAACTTAACGGACAGCAAGCAGTTATTTTAAAATAATGTCAAAATATAATCAAGCTGGAGGACTTCTTACTCCCATTCCTATAACCAGGGCTCGACAAATTATACAATCTACTCGCCCGCGGCGAGTATATTGTAACCCAGAAGAGCTGGGTTTGGGCAGTCTGCGCATGCGCAGAACGATCTGCGCCTGCACAGATCGCCGGACAGCATGGCTGGTGAGCAGGGCTCGCCGTGGTTCAGCGAGCCCTGCCTATAACCCTCATTGTATGAGGAGTAAAGGAAGTGGGAGGAAGAGTGCTTTATTTCAAAATAAGTGCTCCCTATTTCAAAATAAGGTATTTCGAAATAAGCTATGCAATTGACGTACCTCAATTTGTGCAGCTTATTTTGCATTAAGCCCTGCTGTGTAGACGCTCCCTGGTGACCTTGAGAAAGGAACTTCATCTCGTCTGTTTGGACTGTAAGCACTTGATCAGTCTCTTTCTTTCTGCACGTACAGCACCTAGCACAACAGGGATTGAACTCTGTGTGGGCCTTTAGGCACAGCAGTGATAACAAAAGAATGGACAATAAAAATACCAGGTCAGGAACTGTGTTGAGCCAACCCATGAACAAATAATTTTAATGGTTTTCAGCAGACCCATAGATTTCTTCTAGGAACTCCACTGTCTCATCTCATTGAAGTTGGACAGATACAGTCAACACAACAAATATATGATACAACCCATCACAGCTGGATTAAAAAAATACACAAAAAATATAATACATAAAAAAAAGGGGGTTTTACATTGTGGACTGACGCAGCTCTACAAATGGTGACCATAACCCTGGTAAGCTTTACAAAGTCTTTAAAAAAATAAAACCGTACTTCATGTGAAATTCATAAATACCATGAGGGAGGAGGAGAGGAAAGGGACTGGTTATTAATGAAGAGTGTCTGGGTACCTGTTTAAGTCCCATTAGGGGAGAGCCAAGCACTTGACATCTGCTGCTGTCCTTTAGGGGTGAGCGACAGCCAGGCTAACGGGCAGCGCGCGTGTATTTGTGTCCGCAAACCAGAGGTCAGAGGATGAGTGTGAACTCTGCAGCCAGGGAACGAGGCAGCGGATCTACTGCATGAGGCTCTGAGATTACAAGGGAAGCAGGTGGGAAGGCTGCAGGTGAAGGCTAAGAAACAAAACAGTCCAGTTTAAGAAGAGATTCTTTCAAACGGGGCTCCAGCCCAGTGGGGCTAAAACAATGGGGAAGGGGGGTTATATTGGGTGTTTATAAAGCCCAAGTCAGTTAGCGGAGTAACCGCCCCCCACCCTCACCTGAGTGAGGGGACTGGATCCTGCCCCAGGAGTGTATATAGCGTGCCCCTCGCTAGAAGGCAGGCTTAGGAAAGGGAAGGGGAGGGGGCATTGCAGTGTGTCTGCATGGGGGGGATGCTTGGAAAAGTTGAGGGCTGAACCTCAGTCCCAGAGTTTTAGATCTGTGAGTGAAAGAAATGAACATGCTACCTACTAACCACCCAGCCAGGGAGAGTCGCCTGGGATTATGAGGATTCAAGGTTCTCCCCCTCCCGAACCTCACAGACGGCAGCTCCTCTTCCCATCAGTGACTCCAGCTGTTTCCCACCCCACCGCCGAAGCAGTCAGACGTCAGTGCGCTCCGCCTAGGAGAACCAGCCAGAGAAAGCTTGTGCCACTCTGGGGAACAGCTACTCTCCCAGCACTATCACCCACGCCAAGGGGGGCAGGGAGCCTGGGATATTTGCTCTATCCACCCGGGGAAACCACAGCTCAGAATAACTTGGGGGTGGAGGAGCTGCAGTCCTGGCGAGTCTCTATGCACCTTTGCTCTGAATTCCACATACTGTCAGTCCTGTTTGCCCCCAGTGCTGCCGTGTACTGTCTGCAGCAAGGTATGTACCCGGAGTAATGCACTGGGCTTTGCCGTATTACGGCTCTGGCTCTGCGACCCACTGTCCTCTCAATGCTCCCACTGGCTCCTCGGGCTCCCACGGGCATGGGAGCATCCATCAAGACTCCCCGGGGAAGGGGGACGCCCCCCGGAAGCACCAGTCACAATGTTATTAGAATAGTTAATTATGTTGTACTAGAAAAACTTAGACCAACGCATACTGTAATTTCCTTCAAGGCATGGGAACCTGTATCCTCTTCACAATTCCCTCAATGCTCTTGACAGCTTCCCCATCACAAAAAACTCAGGCTGCCATACTGGATCCCCACACAGCAGCACCCATGGCCGCCATATTGGCTTTTCCCATGGCCGCTATATTGGATCCCCACACAGCAGCACCCATGGCCGCCATATTGGCTTTTCCCATGGCCACCATACTGGACTCTCAGACAGCGGTGCCTAGGGCCGCCATATTGGATTCAAAGGCCCATAGCTTGGCTACCTACCTACCTACACAATAACTGTGCACTTGGTACGAAGGCGGTGTCAGGGCCTCCAGCCAGGAGAACAACGTGCTAATCAATCCCTAGTCGAGCAGAGGGGAATAAAAAGGAAGAAGAGATGAGTCAAAACTGAAGATTCAGCCCCTTGAAAGCAAGGCCAGGTCCAGTTATGAAGCAATTAAACGTTAGTCTCCGTGACAGCCCCTTCCCCTCCCTTCTGCCTCCTCAGCCCATCACTGCTCTCACTCTCCTCCCAAGAGGGAGGGTGGGAGGAAGACAAGCCACTAACCCAGCTGTTCAGGAAGTAGTACAATGCAGTAGGACTCAAAGGTCTATGAGATTCCCACTTGGCCCCCTTCATGCAGCGCAGGCCCCGTTCTGAAGACAGAGAAAGGAAGAGAAGCCTGCAGACTGATGGGGGAGGAAGAGAGGACCCTAAGGACCATGCCCCCCCCCCCGCTCTCCTTCCACTGCATCTATGACACGTACACACACCAAACTCTTGAGAGCTGCACAGTCGCCGTCTGCCCAATATGGCCAGTCTCTTCCCTCCGACACCATCTCAAAGACCCCACCCTCTCGCGCGCTCTTTGGGCCCCTTTCCAGAGATCTGGAGTCTCCAAGGAGACAGATATTTTCTAGCACTGAGGCCTCCTACTGCAGCAGCCTAGCTGGGATCAGACCTACAAGCTAATCTAGCCAGGCATCTAGGACCTCTGGACTGCAGCCATGAGGACGTGTACTAGCAAGCCCTTCCATTCACCTTCTTCATGGCAGAAATTTCTCTCTTGCTCCAGCCTCCTCCAGCCTCACTTGCCTTAGTGACGCCTCACTCCCTCTTGCAATAGTGCTCCCCCCCCCCGCAAATGAACCCCAGGTAGCTTCCCCATTAGTAACAACGTTTTCCAAGGAAAGCCTGAACTGCTCCATTTCCAGCACCAGGATAGGACCCCACAGTGGAAAAGCCACGTCCCTCATCCGGGACTGGACAGGACACAGAAGAGGCAGTTTAGTGGCAGAGGTGTGCTGGGAAGCAAATGGGACAAAGGAAACATTTAAACTGAAAAAAGTCAGACAGAAAAAACCTAAGAGGAAGAGGTGGGAAATTTACATATGAAAACTAGGGTGGGAAAAAGCGATGCTGTTGCCATTTCCCTATTACTGACTATTAAGCCATAAAAGAATACTTAGAGGAACAGTACTGAGTAAAAACACCCGGGCCTAAGCCCGGATGGTAGAGAGAGCCCAAACTCCTACCGACTTCAGCGGGAGGTAAGGACGTAGATCACCTTTTATTCCTGTTTGGTTTACAGTAGCACCCGGAGGTCTTGGCTGAGAGCAGGGCCCCACTGTGCTAGGTGCTGTACAGACACGTAGCACTGGGTCCCGATTTTTTGTTAAAAATACCCCCCTAAAGTCATTCCCAGCACTGCTAACCAACAGCCCGGGAGGTCAGGAAAAGCAGATGTTTTCCAAACCCATTTTGCATCTTTTTTGTTTTCCTGCCTCTGAACACACAATACACAAGTCAGTTTCACATGGGTTCTAGTCACTTTCATAAGGCTGGGCTGCAAACCCCGCAGGAGCAGGAGAGCTCAACTCCGATTAAAGACACACTCTCTTTTTAAAAAAATACATATTCTAAAACTTAATGTTAAAAAATTATGGAAAAAAAATTTCCATTCAAGTTTTGACAACTCTCCCCGGGGCCTCTTTAAAATGCAAATCCTAAATTTTGGACCTTCAACAGTATCCCTTTAAGCTCTACCCAAATCACATCCCCACCTTCCCTCTTGTCACAGCCACGCGAGTCCATAGAGGTGTGTGGTTTACACCGTTGGTGGATCTGGTAAAGGGGGTTCACCAAGGGTAGGTTATAAGGTTCCACTGCGGTGAACAGGTAGACCCCACTCCATTGCCTGCTTTCCAGATTGTTCCCGTCTGCAACGGGGCTTGGCAGGGAACATTAATACCCTGCTAAACTAACCTTCAGGGTTTGGTCTAAGCTTTCCCTGCTTCTCTCCCATGAAGTGAGATGCAAAGCATCAGCAAGAGTTGCTTAAAGCTTCCAGTCGCTTGAGATGTTTGAGAACTTCCCGGGTTCTCCTACCCTTTTCCTAGCCCTGGGACTTCCCCAAGCAGCCTTGCTGGCACATAGCCCTCTTGGATTCTTGTCTGGGTACAGCTGTCTCCATAGCTTCCTAGATACTCTTCTCCAGTTGAGTCCCTTCCAGCCCCTCTGTTACCTTCTCATCCTCCCATCACCGGCTCCGACAAACAGCCACATCCCCTTCTCCCAACTGGTTCAATACACTCTCTAAAGTGATGCAGCCACACTCCCGTTACCTTCCCAACACTTGGGACACTGCCAGGGGACGAGCGTCCTATTCATAATGCCAGGCACATGGCTGCGGTGCCTCCATAGCCCTACCACCAGGGGACAGCACTGTAAGATCATTGCACTCCTGGGACAAATCCAGTATTCAGTGTCACTGCCATGATAACACCAGTCCCTATTCCCTCTCGCAACCGAGGACAGGGATGTTATGCAAAGAGCCAACCTGCGTCTCTGGAGGCGATGCTGGCTTTGCGCACACCTCCTTTTCCCTCGCCCATTTCCAGACCAGAGCACATCCTGCTGGATAAACCAGGCAGCATCCGCTTCCTCATCCCACTCCAAAAGGCCATTTTGGCACCACCCACTCAATTCCACTCGGCACGACCGAGCCAGGCAGAGCTGGCCGGGCACATGATCGTTGCTGTCTGAGCGAGGAGGAAGGGAGCGCGTCTGGGTATTAAGAAGGGGTTGTCGGTCTATGTGGCAGCATGCTGGGAAAGGCACATGGGTGGTGGGCCGCAGCGACGTCGATGGCCACGCCTTTCCCCTTTCAGCGACAGGTGACCCTCCCTCCTTTAGCTCACTGGTTTCTTTTTCTTCTTCTTTTTTTTTTTTTAAATTGTTCCTACGTAGAACACATCTTTGATTGTGAGTCAGTCTTTTTGGCTTTTCTTTTTTTCATTTTCAAAAGACTTCCACGGAGGCAGTCCCGCATGGTCAGCTTCTCTGGAAAGACCTTTTCCCCCCGTGCCCTGCCCATCTCACGGGCCTCTAGTCTTTGATCAACTTGTACACGTGGTGCTGGGCGCCATGCTCGCTGGTGGACACCTCAAAAACAAAGGCTATGCAGAGCAAGGTTTCCTGGGTATCCCTGTTGGTAACAACCTGAGTGGGTAGGAAAGAAAGCAGAGTCAAGGGAATGCAGAGATGGGTTCTATGTTGCCACGTAAGGCGCAGTTTTATCATGCGGATGATTTATTTGATAGAGCTGTATCCTCCAAGATCAATATCCACATGTATGGCTATGTACATACACACATGCCCTGACTCTCTATTGGTTTGTCCCTCGTGATGCGGCTTATCATAGAACCATAGAGCTGGAAGAGACCTCAGAAGGTCATCATGTCCAGCCCCCTGCTCTAGGCAGGACCAGTGCTTAAACCACTACAAAGTAGGTGAAATCTAGAGCTGGTGCAAATTCCAAACTTTTATTTTATGGGAACTTTTTGACACTGGAACAAAACCAAATCCACAATAACCTCCGCACTCTGGGTGTCCCTAATTGGAGAACCTGTGGTGCGGACCCTAGCGGGTGGAAGCATAAGCGGCTCTCCACCAGCTGGGGAAACGGCAGCACAGCGCTCTGCATGCGGCTTTTCCCGATGCTCCCACAGTGGCAGGGGATGGGTCCTAGGAATGGCAGGGGATGTGCAGCACTAAGTAAGTGCCTTGCCCCGTTTCCCTCCCTCCCTGCCCCATTTCTCTCACTCATCTGGCAAACCCGGTTTCCCAGGGTTAAAGAGATTCAAGTGCATTTTCAAAACTTCCTATGAAACACAAATTCCATTAAAAAAAGTAGTTTGGGGGAAATTTTTGACATTTTATTTCAAAGCGAAATTTGTCTTTGGAAATTTATATTGTTTTTAAGTGTTTTTATATTTATGTTTTACATTAGCTCTGGTAATGACACATAGGAGTCTATAATGGTGTGATGTTAAATTAGGATATGGCTTGACGTGTGTCCGATTTTACACTACTACAAGTCATGACACAATGTATAAATGATAAACTATAAAATTTCAAAACAAACACATCCAAAAGAAATTTCATTTTGAGAAATGTTATTAAAATCGACACCATTTCTACTGTACTTTACACACACACACTTTTGATGGATAAAATGTGTGTAAACAAAAAGAGATTGCACCCCCCCCAGTCCTCTCAAAAAAATCCCTGTGTGATTCTCCCTCTCCCCCAACTTTCCCCAAAAGGCCACCTTGACCCAAGATGTAACCTCTAAAAATTCCAGGTCCTAGCTGGTCTGATCAGCAGATGGCCTAAAAAAAAATCAGATCTTATGTTTTCAAAATGATTTTAGGTTCCCAACTTGAATCACCTTAAGCCAGCCTGATTTCCAGAGCGTGGGTGCTCAGCTCTGTCTGACAATCAGGGTTCTTTAACCCATTGCACGTGGTGCAGCCAGAATCACTAGTCACTTCTGAAAGTTTCGACCCTGGTCTGCAAGGGTGGCACACCTTCATCCTTAACCAGAGGGGAGAGGGTTTACACCCACATGCATCAAAGAGTGGTCGTGTGATGGGGTGTCATCACTCACAGTCACCTCCATGGTGAGCCTAGAAATGGAGCATGGAAGAAGGAAGGAAGAAAGTTCGGGTACCTGCAGGATGGTGAAATTCTCCAGGACGCTGTTCATCATGTACTTCTCTGGGAGGTGCTTGAGCTTGTGGATGAAGTTGATCATGTACTCGCACATGGGGGACCGATGGATTCGATACACGAACCGGCCGTTCTCCAGCCGTGCGTACTCTGTCTGCAGGAGAGCAGAGCCAGGTGCCCAGTGTTACAGCACGGTTAGCTCACGGCTGCTGTCAGAGCACGCGAGGGAGCGGACGGGAATACGAGCATGCAGGACAGAGGTAGCAAAGACAAGGAGATCCGTAGCAAGAGCCTAAGCAAATTGAGGAGGTTGGGGTGCTATCACCACTGACATTTACTAGCTCCATTGTGAGATACACTGCAGCAGTTTAAGGAACGTGCTGTTCTCCAGCTCTCTCCAATCACTCGTGCCTTTAGGCTGTTTGCTCTTTGGGGCTGGATGCTGTTAGCATCTGGCACCTTCCACCTGTGACACAGCACCACAGTGCCTATCATAAATAATAAGGCACAGATCTCTGTTAATTCAGCATTGAATCCCTAGAGAGATAAGTACCCTCCCATTTTATAGATGGAGAAACTGAGGTACACAGGGCAGTGACTTGACCAAATCACACCAAGTCCCAGTTGCAGGACTCTCTGTCCCCTGCTCTTGCCAAACTCGTTGTCTCCTTGGGTATGTCTAGACTACAGGCTTTTGTTGACAGATGGGGTGCCAAAGCTTCTGTCGACAAAGAACGTCTAGACTGCAAGCCGCTTTGTCGACGTGACCGCGTAGTCGCAAAGGACAGTGTAGATGCAATAATGCCTTCTGTCAACAGAACTCTGTCGACAAAAAGCGTTATTCCTCATAGAATGAGGTTTACACACGTTGACAAAACTGCTGAGTTCTGTCGATGTTATGTCGACAGATCTCAGTGGTAGTGTAGACGCAGGTATAGTTTTGTTGACAAAAGTCCACTTTTGTCGACAAAACCCTGTAGTCTAGACACACCCCTTGAGTCCAGATCCCCAGGAGGCCTGGCTCTCCGCCCTGTGCTCTAGCCACTAGACAGCACTCCCTCCCAGGTGTGGGACTCACCTCTACCTTCTCGACGACTTGTTTCCCAAAGGAGCACACCTTGGTGGAGACAGTGACAGTCATGTTCTCTGTGCTGCTGTACTGGCTGCTTACGCCATAGAAGGTCCCAGGACCGTCCTGGATCGTGCTGTTCAGATCCGCCTACAGTAGAGGGAGAGGGAAGGGGTTACCAGGAATCGAGCTAAGCTTTTTCTGGGGGCGGGAACATGGAGTTTTTGGGGCCAGAGACCTGGAGGTAAGAATCCCGGGTTTACAGAAATGCCATCTTACATAGAGCCCACGGGGCTTACCCACTGAATACAGCGAGCACTTCAGCCCCTCCTGAAATCAACCACTCTGGGGTAAGAGGCAGAAGCTGTTGAACAGTGTGCAACGAGCGTGCACCCTGGGTGAGGACAGGAAGCAGGGAACATTTTACAAACCTGGGCAACCCAGAACACACTGCCCCAGTCTGAACATGGCCAGGACACCAGAGCGAAGTACCTCTGCTCTTGCAGAGGGCGCTGTTCCCTGAGGGGCTGTGCCCATCTCAGAAGGACCCAGTTCGGGTAACCCCAACAGGTCAGAGGTAGGAGTCAGGCCTTCCTCCCCCAACGAAGAGATGTGTGGGGTTTGGTGTGTCTTGGTTTTTGAACTTTCGTGCAGCCAGCTCTTCCAAATGGATAGAGGGAGGAGAAGCTGGTGTCCTCCAGCTTCTCTCTGATATTCTAACTCGTTAATTCCCCGCAACGTGCCCCTTCCCAGCCCAGCAATGCATTACGTGTCCCTCCCCTCCCACCCCCGTCAGCTCTGTCCTTCCTGCAGCTCCAGAGGTTTCTTTGCTCCTCTCTTGGGCCTGCGGTGGAGAGGGCATCTCTTCTCCCGGTTCCCAAGCTGGCAGGGGGTGCAATTCCAAGGGCAGAGAATGGACCGACCCACTGTTGGCAGGATATGGGACTGGAGCTGCTCCCTCCCTCCTGTGCCAATGGTACAGGCGGTGCCTGCTATTCCCCGGGATCAGCTGCAGCATGGGCCAGAAGCACATGGCTGGGCATGAAAGGGCAGCACTGAAGATGGGACATCGCTGGGTTCAGAAGTGACAGAGGAAACAGCCCTCCCTTCCCCCAGGCACGGCACGGCACGGCACGGACTTGAGGGACGTGTGCCCCTCTCCCCACATCTCTAGTGGTGCTGGAAGATCTGCGTGTCTGTCCACGACTGCCAGGTGCCACCCTGGTTTCTGCCTGGGACCAACTTCCGGCTGGATTCCGATCACTGTACAAACAGGGCTGCCAGCTCCTGCCCGTCACGGTGTGCGGGAACATCTGGGAGGGGATCTAGAGGCCCAGCTGGGCATCGGGGTGGCGGGGAGCCTGCATGGTTCTTACCCAGAACTTGACAAGGAAGAAGGAGTTCTGGGGCCCTCTCTCATAGAGCTCCTTCAGGCCCCCTTTCTTCTCGGGGAACTTGTCATAGATCTGGCGGATGTCCACAGCCTCCAGCAGGGGGTCGCTGTAGGAGGGGTTCGTCTGCCCGATGTGCACGAAGAGGTGTTTGCTATACTGTAGAGGAAGCGGGAAGGGTCAGCGACACACAAGCAGCCAGCCCAGATGCATGCGCATCACGGGCCACGCCCCCCACGGGGATGCTGTGCCAGATGTCAAAACCCACCGCCCCATCACCGCCTGGGCGAGGAGATCCCAGGGACCCTGGCTCGGCCTAGAATCGTTCCCCACTCGCCTCCGTTGCACAAGGGGACTGCAGTGGCCACTGAGGGACCCCAGCCATGTCCCTGAGCTGCAGTGCTTGGTGCTAACAGGCACAGGGAGAGGGAAATGCCCTCAGCCCCTCAGTCCGGAGGGAAGGGCAGGGGGGTTGGAACTCCCAGTGCCCACAGAGTTACCGTTTCAGCATCCCGCGGCACCTCCATGAACGCGGAGTACTCAAGGAGCCGGAGCTTAGTGGAGGCGATGGTGCGGTCCTGCCAGACGGGCACGGCCGAGGCAGCTGGCGGGAGAGGAGCCAGGGGCTCGTAACCTGGAAGGGAGACGGAGAGAGCATCCAGCAAGACAACCTACCATCCCTAGAGCATCTGGAGGCAGCTCAGGGAAATCGGTGCCCGCAAAGCAGGCGTGGAAAGAGACCTGGCAGGTCTGAGCAAGTCCAGCCGCCCTCCCTCCTGTGCACTGGTCTGATTCTCAGCGCAGAGGCTGCCGTGACAGCTCGCACGTGGGCAGCTGTTTCCACCCACAGCAGTGCACGTGCACCACTGGTGCACTGTAAGTGCAGGGGTGGGGGAGATCTGCAGTCTGGCTCTACGGCGTCCAACTCCTCGGGGGCTATTCCAGCGCCCACTAAGAGGTGGCAGATACCCACGTCTCTCTAGGTGGCCTCCCCATGAGCCACGCCATGTTAGCCTTGCTGGGAAGCTTCCCAAAGCATACAGCCCAGTCCCATCTCGGCCTGCACCCCCCCCCAGTGCTGGCTCCCTTCACACACGGGAGACCCACATCAGCTCCACCCCGAGCGGCGTGATTAACCGCTCTGCTCTTTCTGTGAACACTGGAGTTACAACAGGCCTGTCCTGCCAGGGACATCCCCCACACTGCTATCCCTGCTAAGATGGCCAGCGCTAGGGACAGAGGCCGGCACGGATTTAAATTACATTCGTGCCCAGCACCGAACCCGACAGAGCACTGTAAACATGACTCTCTCCCCGCTTCCGAGGAGCCATGGTTCCCAGCCGAGGTGCACACGCTCCTGGGGGCACACAGAGGTTCTCCTGGGGGCACCGGAGCTCATGTGGATAGCTGCCTCATTTTACAACAGGCTACAGGAAAAGCCCGAGTGAAATCCGTACGAACTAACACTGTGTACCGACTGTGACGACTTTATACCGTGCTGCGTACCACACAGGGAAATGTGAGCGCTATACACTACAGCCTCCGTACTCCAGGTCTCGCTAATTTGGGAACACGGGTGATATGGCCCCGGCAGGGGAGGCAGAAATGTCTCTGAGCGCTGCTGCGTCTCCTCCCCCAGCTGGGGGAACAGCAGTGCAGCAATGCACTTTGCCGGAGGGGCACAGTCTGGGAGCAGGAGACGACATGGAGCACCAGGTGAGCTCCCCACCTCCATCCCCTCACTCCTTCCCTAGCCCAGCAAAATCTTTCAACTGGCAAACCCTGTTTCCCAGGGCTACCAGATTAAGGAGGGTCCAGTGTCTTTATATCCCAAGCGACTGATGTTCTGATTATCCAGCAAAAAGGAGAAAGTCGGCTGCTTTTCAGTACCCGTCTGCTGGGACACATCTGATTTTGTAGACAAATAGTTTTAAAACGAAGCGAAACACGGGCTCCACAAAACAAATCAGCCTCCTGAAAGAGGCCCCGCGGCTGGAAAGGCCGAGAACCCACAGGGAACGCTTGTCTTGGCTCACAGCCCTCCTGGGATCTGTTGTGGCTAATCAGATTACACGTGTGATGACGGACCCGTGCCTCTTGCTCCATAGGAAATAATGCCTCTGGCTGCATCGCCTACGGGGACGGAAATTAGGATTTCTGGAGCCGAGAGGCCAGGCTAGATCCTGCCTGGGCTAACGAGCAGCCTCCCTCACCTCGGGAGCAGTGGCAGACCCCCCTGTACGTGGCCTGGCCACGAGGGAGGAATACAGAGCCACACGGGATTGGCGGGGTTGTTTGGAAAGGCTGAGGGATCAGTGGGCGTGCTGGGAGGCGGCTTTATTTCCGGGTGGCGAGGTGTTGCTGATACGCTCAGAAGTAAGCAGGGCAGGTTCTCAGAGTTTTGTGCCCTGGTGAATCAGAGTGTGACGAGGTTTCCCCCTAGGATCTTTGGCAAGGGGAGACCAGACCTCCAGGACTGGCAGCTGGGGTGGTGCCTGGGAGGCAGAAGAGACAATTCCTTCCTC